AAAGATAGATTGTTCTAAAAACTGGCCATAGTATCTTTTTAAAAACTTTTCACAATATCTTTATTATACCAAAAATGAACATTTCTCTAATTTCAAGCAGTAAGTATTCACATTTCTATCAAGTTGTAGCAGTTTTAATTAGGATCCAAGTATGATCTGTCATTGCAATTTTAGAAATACCTTCTGTGTTCTAGCCCACATGCCAGAAGTTTCTTCCATCTTTTGTTTAGTGTGTTTTCTACAAATGGCTTCATTTTCCTACAGTTTCCCTGTGTGGATTGTCCATTGTACCCCGATTGCATCCTCCACATGTTTATAAGTTTGGAGCCTTGCTTCATTCAAATTTCATTGCATGAGCCAGGTTATTTCGTAGGAGATGATGCATTCTTCCACCAGGAGATTCGTACTCATAATACTTGCTTTTCTGCTCTGACACTAGCAACCATTTGGTCCTAAATGCTGAGACACAGTAACAGTGGGCCTACTCATATCCATATAATATTAACTGTGCATTACCTTGTGGTGGTCCTGATACATGAATAGTTCTGTCCATGTTTCCCCTTTATTGAAAACTTCCTTTTACCCCTTTCCACATTGGGAGGCCAGTCCATGTAAGTGTATCTCAAATGATATGTTTATGATACTTCAACAGAATAAACAAATGCCAACCATGGTTTTTTCTATCACCTTGTATGTTTACAGTTTATCCTTATTTTTGCCTATCTTTTGTAGATCGGTGAAAACTCTTGATTGTAACAGGAGCTAAAAAAGAATTAGTGTGTATTCCAAGTATATTTGTGCTACTAGAGCAACTCAGTTGTATGTATTTTAAAATAGTCGGAAATGGACATTTTAACTCTGATCAAATAATACTTTTCAATGTTGGTGTCATTGTCAATATTTGGGAGGCATAATGTGCTTCATTTTTAAAGTTAACTTTTTTTCTCATAAATTGATATTTAAAAATGATTAAATGTGCTTCATTTTAAAAAATCTTGGTTTTTAGACTTTTTGATTCAATAATTTAAAAAGACCTTATTCTGTGGTACATATCTTTTGATACTTGGCTTAATGTGTTCTCTCAAACACAACTTGATTCACATGGCATGAGGGCATTGTTGAGAACATGAAAGATTTTGTCACAACTATTAGTTTGAGAGCTTGACTCTGTGTGCAAGATGTCTATTTTTCTGTGTCTTGCCAATTGCAGTGAATTCACATACTTTGTTCTTTCTACCCTCTGTAGGTTCATTGTTAGTGTAATTGAAACTTAAGAAAATACAAATCTATTTTAACTGGTCTCTTGATACACCTGAATTATATTTGGTTGATTTATCACAACTCACTAGGTGGTCCTGGTTTTACTTTCATACTATAAATAATGGTAGAAGTTTATGTACTGCTTTTATCTGAATTATGTGATACCTTCATTATGCCCCTTCTTTTGTAGAATAGTGTATACTAGTTACAATGCTTACCTACTGTGTATCACAGATAAATTTTGTTAATCTCAATTTGGTTAGGTGCTCACCTGACACTTGGGGGTACAGTTTTTCGTGTTAAAAATGAATACTGGGTCAGTCAGCCGAACTCCCATGTGTCATATGCGTTGATTATACTGAGAAGAAACACACAAGCAAAGAGCCTGAAGAAATACCCCAGTTCACATTTGTTGTGGAAATGTTCCTTTCTTCCCATGAACAACTGACACTTGGATCCTGTCAGGCTGGCAGTGCCAATTCACGTATTTTATGCTAGTTACCATTTGTTTTGTTTTAACCATTGTTGCTTGTTTTTGCTTTTCCTTGGAAAGGAGGAGGTAATTTGGTACTAGTTGAGTGTAACAACTCATTCTAGACAAGCTCTACCACTGAGTTATTAAATGTGTTTTAAATATAAGTTCTATTTCTGTACTTGTTTAGACTGCATATTTTATGTATTTGGAACCTCATCTTGGGACTGTTTCTTTCTTGTGATGATCAGTATTATCATCACAGTCTGATTCACCCTTGTATTCTTAGAGATGGGACAGTGCTTAGCTCATAGATACCTGATAATATATTGAATAAATAGCTAAAAATGACCTGAGCTAACTGTGGTCCTTAGGGAAAAATATGGTGAGATGAATGTAGCATAGATACATGCTTAGCCATGGTGTTGAAAACATAAAGGAGCTGTTGCAAGTGAAGACTGGAAAGTTTTCAGTGGAGCTCAGAAGTCAATCACATGCTTGTCATGTGCACTGAAAACTGAGGGATTACGTATTGGAAAATGCAATTCTGTGTATTATGAGAGTCAGTGTAAGATTCATAATCAAAAACAAAACTAATTGTATTTGATATCTATAATATTTACTATGTGCATGTTTTCCAGAAAGGTCAGTGTGTATTGGTTGATAACTGACTTAAGAACATCTGTCTTAGAATGTATACTTAGTATCTATAATTACAGGTGATACATTCTTGATGTGTGGGAGATTGTCTTTTTTCTTTTCTTTTCTTTTGGGGGGAGGTGGGAGTGTGAGTTTCCAGTGGACCTGTGGTTGTGTAACTGCTAAATAGCAGCAATCTGTTGTTCCTAGAGATTCATACTGCCATTCCATGATAAAATGGTAACACTTATTTTCTGTCACTCTAAACATTGTAGAACATCTTCCTAGGTGGTCACATGCTTCAAGTCACTGGCTTAGGTTTAAAAGTGCCAAGTTTCACTTCCTCACTGAACCTTTGCACTTGTGTAGAATAGTTTATGTAGTATATGTATGTTTATCTAACACAGTGGTAGTATTTTTGGACCAAATTCTCAAATTTCCATCAAAATATTTGAGTTTGAATGCAATAGATATTGCATCTTCCTTTGTATTTCATTCTGACACTCAACAACTTATGTCTTGAAAGCCTTGGACTATCCTTAAATATACTGTGTCCTTTGCTTTTTCTTAGTTAGTAGAAGAATCAGGAAAGGCAATGTGAAGTATAACATACACATTTAGCATCAATTTACCTATTGTGAAGTGAACTATTTTTGTGATGATTGTGGGTTGAAAATCATAGTTTGCACTCATACTCAAGAGTAACCAGGGCTTTTAAAAAACAGTTTGGAAGTACTACTGTTCTGTCCTGTGAGCATCATAAAATAAAACTCACAAATTAAAATTCTGTGTACTTGGGCAAAGTGATAGGGACATGCTAGTATATAATAAATAGCAAATTTGACAGTTGGGACTTGTATTTCTGCCTCTTCTTTCAGGTGGTTGGCCTTGGTTGGTCAAGTCCTTAAAATGGACTTCAGTTGGCCAAACACTAAAGACAGAGTGAACTCATCAACATCATGGTTTGGTGCAGTGGTTGAAAATATAATTTATATTCTGAAGAAAGTGGTTATATAGAATGATTTCAAATCTCAGATTTACAAGCAGGAAATGCTCTTGCCTGCATTGACAAATGTGAGAGCTAGCGATTAGACTGATAAACAGAAGTTGAAAATCTGTTGTGTTAAAATTGAAAGTTGTAGTTTGAGCATGATTGCATACTCTGCCCACTCTGACTTGAGTTTATGGATTGATTGACAGTTTATTCAAATGGAATACTTACACTGAGGGGTAAGAGTTTTAGTCTAAATGAAATGACCCACTAATAAACTTGTTAATTTGCTAAAGAAAACTTTGGAAAGTAAAGCCCTTTCACCATGTAAAACCGCATGTGCACAGGACTGGTCTTGAACTCAGACATACACCTGTCTGCCTCCTTAGTGCTGCAATTAAATGTATATGCTACCATGCCCAGCTACAAACCATATTTTAATAAAAATAAAAATACTTTGATAGGTAAAATATTCTAGTGCTTCAATTTCATTTCAGTTTGCCATGTCTGGTCTGAAGAATAATTGTAAGGATTTAAGACATGTAACTAAACCATTTTAATGAAAACAGCCCTTGATTTTCCATAGGGAGCAAGAGGGCAAGGCTGTATTAGCTGTTGCCTCCCATCCCAACCCCCAAATCAGAGCAAGAGCACTGGCTGGAGACTTGTACCCTACTTTTCCTTTTGTTCTCTACAGCTCATTAACTGGATGACTGTGGGCAGGCTCCTTTAGAGTCTTGTCTTCATTTTTAAAGTGGCATTTCTCGTTGTCTACCTTATTGGTTAGAAGAGTAAAACAAAATCAAGTTTATGGGTTAAGGGTGTAGTTCATTTGCTGAGCATGTACTTACCATGCACAAAACTGGCTTGGTTCCCCAGTAGCACATAAACTGGGCATCGTGGCAGGTGCCTGTAACCCCCACTTACAAGGTTCTGCAATTACAATCATGAGTTTATAGTTACCCGTGGCTGTACAAGTGCCAGTTTGGCCTGAGATACATGGAACCTGGTCTCAAAAAAATAAAAAGTGGAAAATTGGTGTGAGGAACCTGTAACTTACAGAGTCTCTCCACAAAATTGGGCTGCTGGGTTTCATATGGCTAGAATTAAAAGTAAAACATTTGAAATCCATCTTTTGAGTTAATGAATGATATGCCTTTTAGAATTTTTAAAATATACACTATCACTTTTTATATCTGTGGTATGCTTTTTTGTTTTTTGTTGTTTAGTCTTTGAATATTATTTTAATAGTGTTTTTCTTTCATTTTAATAGAATAAAATGGTAAGTGTGCATTACTGGTCAACTGATGTTTTTATCACCTGTTGAGAACTTAAGATTATCTTCATCTTTTTATTTATCTTTAGACATTATTTGATTATAGAAAATAGATTTATTCAATAATGCCTGATTGGAGATGTTCTTTCCATAATTTGAGTAAAGCAAACCTGGGGACTTAATGAAAATAGAAGGGTATTAACATGATGCTTTTAAAATGGATGGATTAAATTTTGGGTGCTTTAAACAAATTGTTGGGTAAATACTTCAAATAGCCAATTGAACACTGTAAAAGTTAGAGCATGCAACTTTAAGAACTCTTTAAAGTTGTTTGAAAAGTCTAATTTTTTGTTACTTAACAGACATCCCACTTAAGCAGACCTCATCCATAGCAGTGGCTGGAGCTGTGATTGGAGCTGTCCTGGCCCTTTTCATCATTGCTGTCTTCGTGACTGTGTTGCTAACACCGAGGAAGAAGAGACCATCCTATCTTGACAAAGTGTAGGTGACAGTTTTGCTTGTGTTCAGCTGTGAACATCCATTATACATTAGCCTGTATGTCCACCTTTATGTTACTTATATTTGGTGTTCAACAGATGGAAATAAGCATAGTGTTGGACCCTTGTTAGTCAACTGTGATTTCATCAGAACATGTTAAATTTCATCAGAACGTGTAGTAAGAATCTTCACAGGGCTGCTAGAAGCAAACGCATTAGGCAATGCCTCATTCACAGGCATTATATATCTTTCCAAATGCATCATATTGATAGCTTATTTTGGCCAACCTAAATAGAATTCAGGTACTAACTACTGATTTCAGTATTGAAACATCTTAGGCTTAATTATATGTCTGCCTTATATAGAGATACAACTAAACTACCAAAAATTATTTTTAGAAACTATCATTTTTTATTTTTATAATTGTAATTAGACCAATTCTAAATTAGAAATAAGCTTCTTTTACATGTCAATCCCAGTTCCCTCTTCCTCCCATCCTCCCCTGCCCTCCCCACCCCCTATTCCAACCCTTTTCTGGCATGAGGCTGGTATTCCAGTGATGCATCCCTTTGTTTCTTTAAAATGCTTTGGGGCATGACTCCACTTCTTCGATCTGACACAGTCACTGCACTGCTTTCTGGGTTGTAAACCCTGTCATAATGGACTGACAGCTGTCATCATCAGCAGGTCACTGCTGCCATAGCTTGGGTTTTCTTATTTAAATGGTGCTATAAATTTTTTGCAGTTTTCATTAGAGAAAAGTTACTACTTATGAATAAAAGATGGTAAAGTGCTGCTTTAATTTGATAATGTAAGATTGGACTTCTTTTATAGTAAACTTTTATGTATTTATTGAATTATTTTCAGTATAAAATACTTTATGCCCATATTGAGAACTGAGTAGATCATAGCACATTTATTATTTTAGCATCGGAAGATTTCATTTATCTTTTAATATACATAACTTTTTATTTCATTTGCTAATCAAGAGTACTGGAAATACATCTTTAGTCTTCAAATCATTGAAAGCTATTTGTATATGAGAGATTGTTTTCTATAAAACATAGAACTATAGACCCATAAATGTGTTTGTAAACATCTAACTGGTATTGAAAATATGTGTAAATATTAGAGAATTTTACAGTTGAGGTCATCAAAAATATATTCTCTAAGGAAATCCTGGTTCCTTTGTCTATTTCAGATGGCATGATTTATAATGAATTGTATCTGAAAAATCTTATGGGATAAATGTTCTAAAAGTGAATAACCACCTTTTTAAGATGTATTTATTTTCGTTTCATATGCATGTTTGTCTTTGTCTGCATGTATGTCCCTGTACCATGTGCATCCCTGATGTCCATGGAGGCCAGACAAGGTGTCAAATTCCCCTGGCAGTAGATTTTTCAGATGATTGTGAACTTAATGTGGGTCCTGGAAACTTAACCTGGGTCCTATGGGAGAACAAGCACTCTAAACTGCTGAGCAGTCTCTACAGCCCCAAGGCAGCCCTTTTGAAAACCTATCTTGGAAAGAAGTTCCAAACTCTGATGTGAGCTTTTGTCAATCTTCTGAGTTACTTATATGACCATTTGGAGAAACATAATAATACACACATTGGGAGCTGGAGAGATGGCTTAGCGAGCTAAGAGTGCTACCTGCTCCTGCAGAGGCTCTTGAGTTTGGTTCCACGCATCCGCTTCTGAAGGCTCACAACCACCTGTAACTTTGGCTGCTTGGATATGACCTCCCTTCTGGCCTGTGGGCATCCACATACATGTGACAGACATGCAGACATATGCACATAGACATAAATAAAAAAAATCTTTTTAAAATCCTCCTTTAAAATGTTTGTCAGCATAATCAAAGTGAAAATATGCCAAACTTAAGGTGGATTGTGCACAAGATACTTGTTTAATAATTTTAAGTGTTACAATTTGAATTGCTTCTTTATTGTGAACAAGATAATTTGGTGTTAAGTAGTAGAAGCACTGATATCTTTTTATTTCCTGACAGATTAACAGAATATAACTTAATTAAACATGTAGAGTAGAATAATTATGTATTATTATAGTATGAAGAAAATGTCCTTTAGATTTGTGAGAACTTTGTTTTTTTTGTTTTTCCTCCCGGAACCCCCAACACTTCTGTTTAATATATTGAACACAGAATTGATCTTCCTCCTACACATAAGCCATCCCCTGTCTATGAAGAACGAGTTCCTTCCCTGCCTCAGAAAAGCCTTCTGTGTCAGGTATGTGTTTGTGAAGACACTTAACATCACCTGAACTATCTTCTAAAGTCTGCTCAGCTGTTTCGGTGCATGTCTACAACCCATGCACCTGAGAGTCTGGAACAGGAGAACCAGAAGTTTAAAGTCATCCTTGGCTATACAGTGAGTTCGAGGCCAGCCTGGGCTACAGGAGACCCCATTGCAAAAATTGAAGTGAATAAAATTTTTTAAAAATCTATTGAATTTGTATTAATTTTTCAAAATATTGTCATTATCTATTTTGTAATGACACATAATTAACATGTTCAAGTATTCCTCTGAAATGTATGCATGATCAGACTTTGTGTAGGAGTTAGTAAGAAAAGTGATGGCTAATGTACTGTACTTGCCTTTCATTAGAAGCTGCAATTAGAGACTGGTTGTGAATTCAGTTGTCTTAACCTGTAGATTTATTGTAAAAACTAGGCATTTTCCTATGAATAAAAAGTGGAGACCTTGAATATATTTGGTAGACTGTTGTGCTCTTCTTTGAGCACCACATTTTTCTCTTACTTCTTTTCTGTATGAAAGAGCTCTAAATTTTAGCATTTCTTTATTGAGAAATGGGTGGTATATATTCCAGTTTAAAGTACAATGAATATTGGATCCTTATGCTACATTTGTGGTGACTTTTAGCATTTATGTTATAATCAGTGTGCAGTAACTCTTGTGCAAGTTCAACATTGCCATCTTTTGTCTACTCCTAAGTTAATATTTTTGCTTGATGTTTGAGAAAGATTAGATCAAATACTTGAATTCTTCTGTTCTCAACTAGAGTGTTTTTGTTCTTTGTTTACTGTTCATTTTGCTGCCATTTTCTCTGTTGCTCATGTAGTGAGTGTATTGGGTTCTCTGTATCTGAGATTTGCCTCGAATAGTTTATTTTCCTTAAAATGCATGCCTGGATCTTCACCCTGAATTCAGTCTGAATATATAGAATTCTGAATTTGGTGGGGAAACTGCGAAGGAATGGCTTTGTGAAGATGTCCTCAGCTTCTGTTCCTTCACTCATCATATAGTCAGTGTGCTGTTAGCATGGGTGGTGCAGGCAGGCATGTGGAGCATCCTGCCATGTACTGCCCCTGGCAGTGACTCCAGCAATGTGACATGGGATGTATCATCTTTCCAGAGCTCTGTTTCACACAAAGTACAGCCTTTGGCAAATAAATAAAAGTAGGAAACAGTGTAAAAATGCCTGTGGAGACCTTGACAGAACTGCTATATGATAGAGAAGGTTCCTACCTTTATCTGTGGGTGCCCACTCTTTGTTCTGAGAATTTTGTTTAGGATATTATTGTTAGTTTCTTTAGAACAAGATTAATTGAACATAATTGAAGTGTCAGGAAAATCAGTTTGTATGTATAATTTGTATTTTCAAGATGACTGTTTATGAAGGCTAGAACTAGAAAAAGTTATTTGGTTCAAATCCTATGTATTGGGTGGTAGTTAAGAAACTATAACGGCATATACACTATAAGACACTGCATAAAAACTTACTGAGTTCTTTGTATATTTTGGAGATCAGCCCTCTGTCAGATGTGGGGTTGGTGAATATCTTTTCCCAGTCTGTGGACTGTTGTTTTGTCTTGCTGACTATGTCCTTTGCCTTACAGAAGCTTCTCAGTTTCAGGAGGTCCCATTTATGAATTGTTGATCTCAGTGTCTATGCTACTTGTGTTATGTTCAGGAAGCTGTCTCCTGTACCAGTTAATTCAAGGGTATTTCTCACTTTATCTTCTATTAGGTTCAGTGTGTCTGGGTTTATGTTGAGGTCTTTGATCCATTTTTACTTAAGTTTTGTGCAAGGTGAAAGGCTTGGGTCTATTGGTAGTCTTCTACATGTTTGCATCCAGTTATGCCAGCACCATTTGATGAAGATGTTCTCTTTATTCCAGCGTATATATTTGGATTGTTTGTTAAAAAGCAGGTGTTCATAGGTGTGTGGGTTAATATCAGGGTTTTCAACTATTCCATTGGTCTACCTGTCTATTTTTGTGCTAATACCAAGCTGTTTTCAGGACTGTCTTGCATGACTTGAGCTGACAGTGAAGCAGAGGGCTTCCAGGATGGCTCAACTTGGGAGGTATGAGATAAATTACTCAGATAATAATTAGAGTAATTTTATTGTAGTAAGTTTAGTAACAGGAATAATCCTGAGCAGAAATGAAGAATGACATTGAAATGTAGTCAAAACCTTTTGTTAAAGGAAATTTGATGGGAAAATACCTTGTATAAAGATGAGTAGTGTTGGCCCTTAATAAGTAAACAGCCCAGTTAGCATTGTGATTCTTTTTTCCTCATTCAAATCAAGCAGTGAAAAGCACTAGTCACTAATGTTTTCTTCTAAATATTAAGCCAAATCTATACAATATAGGAGAATCAGAACTTGTGTTGGACATGAAATCAGTCATATTCTTCATTCTTTTAAAAATGCATTTAGAAATAGTTTAAGCTTTAGTAAGATAATTTATTATGACCCCATTATACTATCACACACTAATTGTACTGATATTTGTTTTGAGTTTATCTTACATCAAAATGCAAAGTATATAACTATTTCTTGGTTACTAAGGAATCTGTGAGTTTGTGATGGCCATGCTCTGATCTTATCAACTTAAAATTGATTAATTTCTACTTGAAGTCATTACTTAGTGAAATCATTACTTAGCTCTAACAACCAGGCCTGGTTCTACAGGTCTCATGTTCCCAGAAGGCTAACCTAGCTTTAAGGAAGAGCCTGATGTCAACATTAAACACCATTCTCTCCTCAAAGGAGATAGGAGACAGTTTATTCTGGATCCAAATATGAATGTTCATAGCCCAGGAACAGGGTAGCCTCAAATGACATGCTCCAGTGTAGACACAAGGTATAGAACAAAAGAAAGTCTTAAATTGAGGTACATTTTCTTCTTATACATTGGTGGAAACATAAAGTAGTCAGGCCACAACAGAATGCAGACATCCCTAATGTGCGTGTCATGTGCTATCTGTTCATACCTTTTGAATTGGTGGATGCTAGCTAATAGTCTGTTACGTTAATGTTTTGTACGAACTTTGACAAGATGAACTCAGAAGTGGCAGTGAATGTCTGTGAAGGGGACTAAAGACAGCCTATGTATGATAAGGTGGCTTTAGATTTGCAGCATTCTAACAATCAAACTGTAGTCAGCATTGTTGAGTCTTTGAGTGTGAGTTTCTGAGAGTTTCAGTTTATGCTGACCTTTTTCATTGCTGGTTTTGGAAAGCAGTGATTCCTTCCCGTGCACACAAGTTCAGTGATAAGCAGTTACTTTGTTGGAAGTACATGCATTAATCCCTGAGAACTTTTCTCCCAGATACACATTTTTTTTTTTTAGGAAAATGAAGCCTGGTATTGTAGAGAGACATTTTCTTGAGTGAGAACTGTTTTCCTACAGAGAAGATGTCTGAAGTGGCAGTAATACATTTTTAGGAAATCAGAATCAATGTTTTGTGTGAAGGCAAAGAGCCCTTAAGTCACCAGTGTGTACTCTTCATAGCTGAACACCTGGCAGAAGTGATCTTTATTTATGAAGCATACAAGCTTTCAGCATTAAATTGTGTTTTACAATTTTATGATAGTTTATTTTCCTTATATGTCTCATACAAAACTATACTCATCATATAAAATATAAAATACAATCTTACAGAAATTTAAAAGATCAACTGTGCAGATCTTTTTCTTCATTCCAGCATCCTCAAAGTTCTGCAGACTACACTGCTGTTGAAGAGTTAAACAGCTCACCACACTTCAGTCCATGACTTGACTTTATACATGTTCAGATTTTAATCTGTGAATGGTTATTTTAAAACATAGGTGGAACAATATCATACAACTATTTTGAAATTTTTTCTTTCTCTTATTTACTATGTCTTCCATGATAATCTATTTTTCAGAGTGGCCTATGCAATTACCTTTATCAAAATCCTCTGAATTACTAAATGAGCACTCACCAACACAGTTTCAGTTGCCTTGTATTGGAATCTTTGGATTTGTTAACAGTTGGCATGCCCCTGCTTTCAAGTCTAAGTTCTGTTTTTGTATCTCTGTCCCACTGTGGTTGACTTTCAAAATACTCCATTACATTGACACATAAAATTCATCCAAGGAGATCCTTATTTTTGTTTCCGAATTATAGTGAAAATACTTGACGCATTTTGTTGTGCTTGTATGTTTATGAGATTTATGCCAATAGGTAGAATCATTTTTTTTAAAGAAGAGGCATATTATCAGCCACAGTATCAATATATATTCTTACAGATAGCATGCAAAACCTGTTTGCCTCTCTGTCCTGTAGTAGGAGGTGTTCTGTGGATGTTCTAACTAAACATTCCGTGGATTCTTGGATGAAGTGGGTCCTAGTTACTGGTTACTGAATCACATATTATATCTTCCCCAGTTTCTACATTGTATTTTGAGCTTTGATTGTTTCTGCCTCAGAGATTCTGATGTAAATATAGTCCTTTGTCTTACATAATTTTCTGTTTTTAAATGTCATAGTGTTGTGTAGGCTATTAAAATTTTTTTCCAATCAGATCTATCTCTTGTATTTAGTGGGAGGTTGTTTTTGATCTGAAAAGCTTTCCATTCAGTCTCTCTTGGCCAGAACATATTTTTTTTTAATCTTATAAATCTGTAATGGTTTATGTTTTATTTTAAAACTGAGATTTTTGTGGTGTGTGTGATTTCAAGTTGAGACCTGTTTAACCAGCGAGATCACCAGTTGTTCAAATTTTGGAGATCTTGTCTAATTACATTATATTTTTGTGTTCTCCTACTAAACCATATGTTGGTGATATGATCTACTATTCAGTGGAACAAATTCCTTTATCAATTTTCCTTGCCAAGATATTCCTGTTTGTTTGTTTGTTTGTTTGACTTTATGAATAACTTCCCAGACTTCATAAAACTATATATTAAAGTTAGGGATTACTCTAATGAAACTGACAACCGTGGTAATACCAATTCAAAAAGAAAATGTCATAGGCTTTCACTTTGGTGTTTATTTTTGTATAAAATTTCTTCTCCAGAGCATATGTTTTATTTTCTCTTTGGGTTTATTGTATACGATTAAGCATTTTGATTGCCAGTAGTATTCTCTACCCCTGCCTCTACCTCCATGGCTTCTTCTTGTTCTTGTTCATGGAGTTCCTATTTGGTCTAAATAATAAAAGGCCAAAGTCAGATGTAGAGGAAAAATGCTGAGAGGTCAAAACGAAGGAGGAGAAAGCCAAAGCCCACCTTCACCTTATTAGTTTCCCAGCAGAAAAGAGAACAAGTTCCTGTTTCTTCCCACTTATATCCTCTTTCCACCCAGCCATCTCACTTCTTGTCTGTCTGTACAGACCTCCTGACTTTTATGGTTGGCTAGTAGAAAGCTCTATCCTCTGATCTTCAAAAAAGATTTATTTATTCAAGCAAGATATCACCACATCTAATAGGGAGTTGACTAACATGTACAAAGACTCATACTAAAACCACGTAGGGTTTTTGATAATTATTCCACTGATGGCTCTTCTACCATATTCTTTGATTCAGGGTTTCTTAGTCAATCTCAGAACTCTCTAATTTGACTGGCTTCACTAGCCACCTTGCTCTAGAATCCAGTGTTTGTCGTTCAAGTTTCAAATTACAGGTGAGCCTTCACAACTAGCATTTGTGTGGTTACTGGATTTTGCAAGTTGATTTTTTGCCATTTTCCTGAAATTGTTGTTTCTAGAAATATCCTGCTGGACTCTTGGGCATCATTTATATGTAATATCACATTCGTCTGCAGCTACAGATGATTTGACTTCTCCTTTTGTGGTGATATTTTGTTTATGATCTAATAAATAAAGCTTGCCTGAAGTTCAGAGTGCAAAGCTAGCCAAACTATTCCTAGAGGTCAGGCAGTGGTGGCACACACCTTTAATTTCAGTTAGCCATAGAAGCTGGATGATGGTGCTACACTCCTTTAATCCCATCACTAGAGAGGAATATAAGGCTGGTAGAGACAGAAGTGCAGAGTATTCAGTCTGCAGTCATGCTGAGACCAGTATCACCCCTTCTGGTCTGAGCCTTGGCAGAAGTAAGAATTCTTAGACTCATGCCATGTGGCCAGCTCTCCCATGCCTGAGGTGAGGATTGGACCATCTCTCTGGAGTGCTAGGGGTCAGCTCTACCATGAGAGGGCAGTGCCAGCTCTCCTGCTGTAGTGCCCCTTTAGAGGGCAGGCCCAGCCATCCCAGGGCCAGCAAGAGAAAGGGCTGACTCAGCATGGCCCTTTCAACAGGCATTGTTCCTCTGACCCCTCTGTAGTAACCTGAGCCATGGACATCAACTCTGACCCTGGCTGCTGTTGGGTCATGGACCAGTAATTCTTTTGGTCAGTCTGATAAGTATTTAGAGATTCTAATAGGGATGTATTTATATTTTGCCTTAGTTTTAATTTGCGTTTATCTTCTTTGGTGAAGTGCATGTTCAAATATGTGCTCAGATTTATTGGATTACTTATCTTTTTTTTTTAAATCTCCCCACTGACATATACACACTTTATCTTCTTTCCAATCCCTTTGCCTTCTTTCTCCTTCTCCTCTGTTTTGGATTGTATTCTTATTGTTGAGTTTGAGCAGTCTTCATCAATTTTGATATAAGTCCTTTCTAAACAATTTGTAAATATTTTCATTCTCTTAATAGTAACTTTTGAAGAGCACAAGTTCCCTTGAGTTGAAGGTGTGGAGAACCTATTTTGTCATTTATTGTTCTACTTCATTAAAGCTCTGTGGCTAATACATTTTATGATATGCCATTGTCCTTAATTTTTCCTTTGTGAGCATTCTCACCAGTTAGGAAATTCAATGAATTTTTTTAAGTCATGAAAAGTCCTTAGTGTCTGCTATTCTCAGGAATCACTAAGTATTACACTTACTTCTTGCCTGAGCTCTATAAACATTAGAGAAATAGACTCCTCCATTGTATTTGGTGGCTCATGGCACAGAAGTGCACCTTACCTTTTACATGTTGTATTCATTTCTATGTCAGGTATAGAATTAACACAAGTGATAGAATAGTAAAAATTGAGAAGAGGAAATAAGTTTTGACATATGAATGAGCACCATTTTAGAGTCATGTCAACTCTAGTATTATATAGGACCCATGATGCTAATCACAATCAAGATTCGTCATCATCTTAACTTCCTGTCATTGTAGAACTAACACTAAGAAAGTTTATTTCAGACTTACTGTCTGTGTGTAAGCCAAAGTCAATCTAGGGAGCCTGGAGTGGTGGTTTCCAGGCAAAGATTCCACATTCATTGGCTTTGCAGTATTTTATTAATGTGGAAACATTCCCAAATACTGTTAGTGTTAGCACATTAATATGTGGCTTTTATTGGTTTGGGTTTGGGTTTCGTGCTGGGGTTTGAACCCAGGGACCCTGTATATACTGAGCACATACCGTGTAGTACTAGGAACAGGAGTTGAAATCTTACTACAATTCTCAAGTTTGTCTCTTCTTGACTTGTAACTAGATTGCTTCTGAATGGGAAGTTAGTTGGTACTGTTTTAAAAAAGAAATATAAATGTTTGGCTACATACTGATTCCTTCAGAAATATATCTAACAGTGGTTAAATTATACTTTGTGTAATTAATGATTGAAAAGATCTGTCTTCATTATAGCCATCAGTATCCAGGATCAGAATGAAGCCAATAATTAAAAGCAAAGCATCAGAAATCAACCTTTTTAAGTCTGTCCTGACCAACTCAAAGAGAACATCTACTTCACGTTTTCTTAAGATTCCTTACTCTAACTCCATGTGGTTCTGTCTATATTATAACAGCCTCACCCTTCTATTTGAATTTATCACCAAGTTATAGGAATGGATTTTTTTTAAGCCACACAACTACTTGTAATCATATATTTGGATCTTTTCTTGTTCTCTCTCTTCTTATTTAGCTCTAGAAGAGGAAACTGTGGTTATTCATACAGTTCATAACCTATACCAGGGTTATCCTAAAGTTGCTGCCTTACAGTGACAGTCAAGTTAATTGTTCATAAAATCAGTTACCTAATCAAGATGAACATGATAGAGATTTGGGATGGAGACAGGGGATGGAAATCTATTTACACTGTCACTTTGTACTTCTCCCTGTGCAATTAATTTCTATGCAATTAGGAAATTGTATAGCATATGGTTTCTGAAGCAGAAGTGGTAGTAACTATTGAAATAGGTGCTAGTTTCTCGGTCATGCCAAGTTCAAAGCTTTTATCATTGTCAGTTCATAATAAGCAGAGATTGATCTCTGCTTTTTAATATTACTAGTAATATTTTAGAGGTGGGGGATGTTTTTGAGACACATGCATCCCTGGCTGTCTGGAAGTTGCTGCTCTTCTGGTCTTCTGTTCCTCCTGCCTTCATCTTCAAAGCACTGGGGTTACAGGTGTGCACTGCGGCACCTGGTCTTATGGATCTAAGGTAGATTCTGAGTATGGTATCCAGCCCAAGGCCTGTCCATACAAGGTAAGCATTCTATGAGCTGAGGCACATCCCTAGCCTCCTAAAAATATTCTTAAACACCACATAAGCCATTTAAAGACTTGAAGAATTAACCCAGATGTAATTCCAAGACTGGAAACAAAAGAGAAACCTTTAATGGCTCAACTCTACTTGGGAACTCTAAAAGTATTATCTGAACCAATAATTTACTAAGTATGGTTTTAACTTTTAAGGAATTAAATTTAGACTATTTTTGCTTGAAATACAGAGCATTAAATTTGTGTAGTTTATTTTAGACTTGTGTTAACTTCACACTACCCTTAGGGAACTTTAAGTCCTAATTAGAGGTGACTTGATTGACTCATGACTCACCAGTAAGAAACTGATTGAAGTTAAATTCTGGAAGCTAAGTAAGGTAAAATTTCTTCCTGGATTTCAAAGAACCTAATACCTTTCCTTATCAAAAAGCACTCATGATCCTTTTTAAGTGGAGCGATTTTATTTCAAGTTCATAAATGTCTGAATACAGAAGTGGGCTGTTTTTTGTTTTATTTGATATTTATGTGTGTGTGTGTGTGTGTGTGTGTGTGTGTGTGTGTGTGTGTGTGTGTGTGTGTGTGTGTGTGTGTACACATGCAAGATCATGGATGTGCTCCAGTCTATATATGGAGGTCACAGAGGGAAGCATGGAGGAGTCAGCTCTCTCTTTCTACTACATGGATCTCAGAGATCAGACAGAGGTCCTCAGGCTTGGCAACAAGCACCTTTACCCATTGGAGCTGCTTACTGGCCCCAAACTGGGCTATTTTAAATGTTCAGAACAGATTGATTAAGTTTGAGAGGTTTGGGGGTTGGTTTGTTTTTTTTTTAACAGACTTCTCTGGTTTTGTTTGTTTGTTGTTTGTTTTTGTTTTTGTTTTTGTTTTTTTTTTAAGACAGGGTTTCTCCATGGCTGGTCTCAAACTCACAGAGCTCTGCCTGTCTCTGCCTCCCAAGTGCTGGGATTAAAGGCATGGACCACCACCATCCAGCTAAAAGATAGATGACTTATAAATGAAATTTCATATGTTATCAGTTTTATTTTGAATGTGGCCATCTTGGTTTAATGAAAGCTACAGTTGTTCTCTGACCTCTGCACACATACTATGACACTATCATGCCCCATCCCAATAAATAAACATAAAAAATGCCAGCAATTAAAAACATGTTATAATTTTCAACAAAGCCATATTTCAAAATAAGAATTAAAGGTGTCAGTCAGCACCTCAAAAGGGATTGATTCAAGGACTCTACAGATACTGGTGTGCTTAGAATCCTGACATGAAATTTAAGAAATAGGGTGTTGCAGATCTTCCAAGTACTTTAAATCATGTGTGTCCCACCTGTGACCACAGAATCAACTCACTGGGGCTCATAGATAGAAATTGAAATGACGGTCAAGGGAGCCTGGACGGCTCTGACCTAGGTCCTCTGTATATATATCATATATAGTTTGGTGTTCTTGTGGGACTCCCAACATTGGGAGAGGGGTTTATCTCTGAATCTTTTGACTGCTAAGGGGACCCTTTTCCTCCTACTGGGCTGCCTCATTGAATGTTGTTATGAGGGTATGTCCCTAGATTTCATATGTCATTTTTTGTTTACCCCTGGGAGGCGTGGTCTCTTCTGAAGGGAAATGGAAGAGGAGTGGGAAGTTGGGAGGGAGAGACTGGGAAGAGGAGGGATGGGAAACTTTGGTCAGGATGTAACATATGAGAGAAGAACAAATACGTAAATTAATTTTTTAAAAATGAAGCCATCTCTGGCTTGCTTAGTGTAATGTGTTTATAAATAGATGTTATTGTATGGTGTTTGAAACAATAAGAAATCAATGTGGATATTGAGGCATTTATAAAAAAAAATTGTACTGTGGAAATTCCTTTAAGATTTTCAGCCATAGTTGATTGACTCTGTGAATGTGGAGCCTGCAGAAAAGGAAACTATACTATACTATATAACTATACAAAATTAATTTCAATATACATAATGGTTGAGAAATCTTTAAAACACCAAAATGTAAGAAAAATTTAAAGATAATCCAATAGCTAGAAAAACTAAGAAACATTTATTTAGGGTACAATGGTCTTGACCAGTTTATCTGTGTGTAAACTGTCAATAGTTATTCATCTATAAACACTAAATTATTCTATTTTCTTAAATGGGTTTGGGAATCTTCCACCTATTACCCTTGGTAACCTGTCAGATGTGTTTCCATAGCTACTAAGTTAGCATGCTACAAATTTCCTGCTCCAGAGCATGGTGGTAGACATAGTTATCATAGTAGGTGCCAGCGATATTTCTTATCATTGATTACATTTGATGTGACATGGATCCAAATTAATTTAATTGTTTCCTTGGTAGACCAAGATATTCATGTATTCCATCTCACATACAGTAGTTTACTTGACCTACTAGCATTTCCTAAACTGCAATTGTGTTCCAAGCAAGTAATTAGCCTATCAGTGAGTCAGTTTTTCTTCTTTTGAATCTTATTTTACAAATAAATTAGGCCACAAGCTACTGTTTCTGTGGCCAGGAAGATTAAAGGATTAATTTTTTTTCAAAAAATACATTTTTATTATTTATAAGGGGTCTTATGCCATGGCCAACAAGGAGGAGATAGCTCTCACCACCATCTGGGAATTGAACTCAGGTCATGAGGTTTGATGGCAAGTGCCCTCAACCACAGAGCCATCTTGCTGGCCCTAAAAAGTTAGTCTTGCAATTCAGACTAACATCCTTTTATCATTTAATGAGTTAATAAAACCGACTACTTGAAGGCGGTGTTGCTTTATGAATACTTTTCAAAACCATTGGATGAGTTAAGTGTCACAACCAGCCATTGTTCCTTTTGTGTTACAAATATCTGTGTAACACATTTACATCAGGATCAGATTCTTTGACGATTTCCATGGCAACCAAGCAGTAACTTAGAGTTTCTATCAAATCATTTTAGTCCGACATCTGTAACTTTCTAAGAAATCTTGCTTAGGTCGTTTAACATTTCTAAGAAAGACATTCTTGTTTATCTGTCTTTTCCTATAGAGCCAAACACTATAAGACAGTTGCTTTGTATCCCCTTGATTTGTAGAGTATAATTGTTGTATTATTTTGTGACACAGGACTAACCTGAAGGTGAAGATGCAGGAAGAGAGGTTCCATGAGCACTCACTTTACAAAAGACTTTTCTAATGAATAGGTTTATTTGTAAAGGGGGCAAATGGATCTCATAAGAAGTGATGGTATTCATGTCTGTAACCCTAGCTGTAGGTAAAAGAAGCCACTTCTATATTTAGAATAAAGTATTTTTAATGCACTTATTTTTTTAATTCGCTTATTTTTACTTCTGTATGTGGATGTTTTGTCTTAAGGTAAGTGTATCACATGCATGCAAAGGTGTGACAGAGTTGGTAGATCTGGAACCTTAGTTACAGACATTGTTAGCCTTCATGTGGTTGTTAGGAACCAAAGTCAAGTCCTATGGAAGAGAAGCCAGTTCTCTTAACTGCCCTAAAATTGAGTTTTAAAGGCTCCTTCTTGACTTACCTCTGAACTTTTTTTTTCCTGTGAGGAAATGATACAGGTTTTCTCATATAACCAAATTAAGTTATAAAGACAAAAGGTTAATTTTGTCTTACTGTGGAGGAGATTTGGTTGCTTGCTTGGTGGTAGTTCCCATGGCATTCTCCTGAAGTGGAGAGGGTAGTAGAAGAGAACTTCTTTTCTCATGGACAGGAAGCAGAGGAGAGGGAGTGGTCCCATAATTCCATGTCATGCCTCCAATTAGCTAACTTCCTCCCACTAAGCTACCACCTCCCTATAGCACCATCCTAGAGATCAATCCTCTAACACACAGGCTTTCAGGGAAATTTGCAATCCACACTAGCACTGTTAGCTCATGAGTTAGCACCCATACTCTTAGCAGGACTAGCACTACTATACCCATGTTTTTATTCTGCTTAGTTTCAAGAGCTGCTGCTGATCGCATATACTCCTAGGTCTTCCTATAGAGCAATATAACACAAACAATGCTACTTCCAGCAGGTGGTTGCTTTTTCCCACCCTTTTAAAGAACAAAAGAACTTTCTTCGTAAAATGCAATGTATGCATTGATTTATGCTTGGTTAATCTTCTACTCCTGAGATAACCCATCATGACCAGGGGAAGCAGGCAGACATAGTGTTGGAGCAGCAGCTGAGAGCATACATCTGATCCAGCACTAGGCAGAAAGAGAGAGGCAGCTAACTGAAATGGTGTGGACTTTTGAACTCTCAAAGCCTATCCTCAGTGACCTCCTCCAACAAGGCCACACCTCGTCATCCTTCCCAAACAGTTCCACCAACTGGAGACCAAATATTTAAACATGAGGCTATGGGGCCTATCTCATTTCAAACCACTATAATTTACATGTTTGATTCTGTTCATATAGATAACAAAAGCTGAAAATGCACATCAAATATCTTGACCATAGCTTTAAGAAAAATGAGTATTATGAAAGTATAAAATTAGCTAGCTGCAGAATGTTTCTTTCAGTAAGTGTAGAATGATGTGGATAGGTAAAGATATTCAAAATAAAATACTTAACATTGTGGTAGTTCATGTTTTAAATTTAGAGGCTTTTTACAGAAGGTAATGATCCAACTTCAGGTGTTTAATGGGCAGTGGTTTTGTAAGCTGTCACTCTTATTAAAAGAAATGCCATGTAAATGCATTTGCTTGAAACTTTAGAAAAATGATGGAGAATATTAGCTCTTTGTATATAGAAGCTGAGACATTGCAGTCTATACTCAAGAAAAGGTAGCTACAAGATTGAATATGGTTGCCATGCTTCCTTTTTACTGAGATATGACTGGATATCCAGTGTGTGTTTGCTTACACCAACCTAACTAATTGTACTAGAAAACAAAAACATGAAATATAAAAAGCATTAAGTTGGGTTTACACTCAAAAATTAGTATTTTAAAGGCCACCCTTAAGAAAACAAAAAGTAATCCAAAGGTTAGGAAGAATATTATATCAGACAAAAAATACTAGAATTACATATACTCATATGTCAAAAGAATTATATACGAAGTCATACAACTCAATAAGAGAAAGACAGGGTGACCCTGCTTTTAAGAAATGGAAAGAAGATTCATGTAGCTATTATTATAAGAGAAATAAATCAGTATATAGTAAATACTGATATATTCAGCATCATTAATCACCAGAAACAAATTAAATGAAAGTGAAAAGCCAATTGATTTTAATGGGTGTCTATGTTACTACCAGTTAGATTGGCTAAAACCAAAATGATTGACTGAACTAAGGGTTACTATCTTAATAGTGACAAATGGTTTACCTTTTGTAAGTTTGCTCTTCTGTTCATTTAGTTTATGAAACAATTTATAGTTGATCTCCATTATTATTAGCCCAGTATGTGCATTATTATTATTTTCTGTTGTATCTCAGAAAATTGCATGTAATTGAAGCCCATATGTCAGTGTTCTTAGGGCATGTAGGGACTAGTCTTTATTGTCAGCTTAGATTTAGACTATTGTAGAAGACTTACCTCTTAATGTGTCTGTGAGGCATTGCCAGAAAGATTTAACAGAGGAGAAAGGCCTCCCCTCAATGTGAGTCGCACCACCCCATAGGCTGGGCTCCCAGACAGAGCACCAGCATTCATGTTTCTTTCCTGTGGATTCGGTGTCCCCTCATGCTCCTGTTTCCCACCACATTGGTCTTGATCCCCTTCAAACCACATGCCCAAGTAAACACACTTTTCCTTCATTACCATTGTCAGACAGAAAAAGTAACTAATAGGAAGGTTCCTTGCCCCTTCTCCCATTATGGTTCTTACATCAAAGACCTATCATGGTCAAGGCTTGGGCTCCACAAAGTGACTCCATTCTCTACTACTGATGAAACCTGTCCTCATGACCTCATGGCAGTTTCCTATAATTAGCTGACTATTGGCACTCCGATTTTTTGTGTGTGAAGTATATGCTAGGATTGCAGACAGATTTGCCAAAGAAGAGACTTAGAGCATATGGCAAATCTGAACCATGCACTGAGTCAGATACCATTGAGGTCTCATAAACCAGTCTTTTCTTCAGGTAAAAAATCCTCTAACACTGCCCCACATCAAAAGCTAGTCGCTGTGCCTTAATTAAAACATTTAGAATAACATTTTGCCTCCCAAGTCATCTCAAAAATCATGGACTGAAGAGAGGGTTCAGTGGTTAAGAGCACTGGCTCTCCTTCCAGTACTAACATGGGGCTTCACAATTATCTCTAACTTGACTTCTGAAGGATCTAACCCCCTCTTCTTGGCTACTGTGAGCACAAGGCATCCTTGTGGTACACAGGCATATATGCAGGCAAAACACCAGTGCATATAAAATAAAGTTGCTAGATAATTAGAAATAGTTTTCTTTCAATTTTTTTAAGGCCGGGGATCTATGTAGCCTAAGGGTGACCTTGAACTTCTGCTCTTCCTGCCTCCATCTTCCAAGTGCTAGGCTTAAAGCATGTACCACCACATTTAGATTTTGGTTTGGAGACCAAACTCAAGGCTTCCTGCATGCTAGACAAGCACTCTATCAACTGAGCTACATTCTCAGCCCCTTCCAATTTCATGAGTCACCATTGTCATTGTTAAAAGTGTTAATAATCTCTTTGGCATTTTAAGCTAAAATAATAGAGTGTATGTATATTTTTGAATCCATATGCTGTTAGTACATACGTTAAATGCTTATAATAGCCCTTCAGAAATTTTTGTATACATTTCAGAATATTTAAAGTTCTCTTACTGACTTTTGTCATTTTTAAAACCAACCTGAATGTTCCTTTATGTCCATTCTTTATATAACATATCTTCCTTCTATGGACTGTCTATCAAAATGTGGTTTAGTATGTATCATGTTACATTTTTTAAGAACAAAATAAAAATAACATTAGGGTAGTAAATGCTAAAATAATTTAGTTATATTCCTGTTTTGTAATCCTTGTACTCCTAGCTAAATGATCTACTTCCACTTGTGTGTGTGTGTGTGTGTGTGTGCGCGCGCGCGCGCGCGCGCGCGCACGCGCGCGCAATGTTTCAATGTGTTACCAACTTTTCATTTACAATCAAGACTCTGAATTTTATAATTATTATTGACTTTTGCTAGGATGAGAAACAGTGGAACAAGCTCAAAGCAAAAACAGGAGATGATGTGACCTAGCTGGTTGGTGTTCAGAAGTGGGAGCTGTGCTCTCCTCTTCATTTAAAGACAGTCTTCTGCAATCTCCAACCCTCTATTAGGTAACAGCAACAGAAAGTCAAGGAACTTCCTTAAAACTGACGTGGATGCTTTTTTCATGTGTGTGAGGTAATTAATTGGCTACTTTGCACAAGCATCCCCTCTTGTGCACAATGGTAGACTCTAATTATGAAGTAACAGATTAATAATAATTAAAGTATTCTTCTAGAACAGTATTTTGGAAATTGCCTGGTTTTAGTTGCAGCTAAATGTATTAAATAAAATAACTTTAAAGTCTCTTCTAAGATGAAATTACACACATAAAAATGTATATAATAAAAATATTTATTTGCTTATTTTTATGTAGACTTTTAAATAATTGTTATGAAACTTTTTAAGGGATCCTATTTCATTTACTACGATAACCAGTTTTTAGCTATCCATAGTGAGAAGACACTAAAATACAGATAATTGAATTCCACCGTTAATCCAGGAACCAATAACCTGAATTCATCCTCCAAAGGAGCTCTTCCTGAGCTACTGCACATGGCTCCTGCAGCACTAGGATAAGCTTGGTTATTCCAAGGGAACCAACAGTCTCCGATTTTATGAGCTTATAGAAGACAAACATTTATTGCTGTGCCCCAGGTCTGCTGCAGTTCTTGGCAGTGACCCAGGCAGCTTTCTCTGTTACTTTTGCAGCCACTAGAGACAGAGCTGTGGGGGAGCTTTGCCCCATGATTCAATGCAGCTTTAGGTGTATTCTTCTTTAACCTGCTTGAGTAGTTCATACTCATCACTTAACTTCAAGAGCAAGAGAGAATGTCATTGAAATTCCTAGGAAGAGAAGGGCCCTATATAACAGCAAAGAATACATCTCTACCACGATCCTTCTCTGATCCTGGTCTGTTTTATTTATATATATATCATGATCCATGAAGAACAAAAGAACAGCCCGCCAGTAAGTTGAGCTATCTCCAAATGGAACTCAGAACAACTTATCCACCCATTTTCGTTGTAGGGAGTTTCGAAGGATCTCATCCATCTAGAATTGGGGCACTGCAGCTGCTTTCCCAAACTGGAATTGACGGAATCAGCTTTCTCATGTTATGCCTGTGTTACTAGAGGTTGCTATCTGAGTTGGTTATTTTCAGGTGTTTCATATCTTATTCAAGAAGCACTCACATTGCAAACTGGCAAGTAAAGTTTATTAAAAAGCCAAGTGATAGTCCAGTTCAGACAGACTGCAAATGAGGTATATTCTCAAAGACATCATCAGTTGTTTTCTGAGGCTTCCTTTTAAAAGATTCTGAAGCAAGAAGAGTTGGTTGCTGAAGGGTGAATGTGGATGAATTTGTTTGGATTGGCTAGCTTGATTGTGTGTGACTTTGTTTACTGAACATGTTTCTTCCCATGATGCATCTGATTTTAATCATATGCATGCCTGATTATGCATAAGCATAAGATGGTTAGCAGGGGTTTTTCCTTACAAGTTCACTCAGGACAGTTTGCCTTATTGTGAACGTATCTAGAATTAGTTCAGACCATATCAGTTCCCTGCCTCCCATATCCTGATACGTCCTGATAAGTTTGAATAGGAACTGGCCACCATGAGAGGAGTTACAAAGGCTACCAGGAAGTAGTGACTTAATCCATCATTTAAAGTGGGATGTATCTGTGGTTTGATGCAAGTGTGTTTCCCTGAGTTGCTAGTTCTATCATTTAGAGAGATGTGTGCATAACCTAAACCAAGTAAAATTCCAGGTTACTGAGCTATTCTTGGGATTGCCTACCTTGGTGATTTTGGAACCTACCTGATGTTTATCTGATCTGAGATCCTCTGGGATCCTGTCTAGGTTAATATCTGCCTTAACAGACATCATGTTATTTATTTGGCATGGGAATGATAGAAGGTGGAAGTAAAGTGAAGATGGGTTGGTGATAAAAAGGACAAAGCATTAGTTATTCCTCTACTACCCTTCACTCCATCTCTCCTACATGACTACACTCGTGCACATACTATCATCATTAACGGGTTCAGAATATTTTTAGAACACTTAAAGAACGGATCAGTAAGTGATAAGGGAGAAATTGTAGCAGAGAGAATGGGGAAATGGATCTGATCAAAGCATATGATATAATTATGTGAAATTCTCAAACAAAAAATTAAAAAAAGCTTTTCTCATATTGCTTTATTGCAAGCAATACTGTATACTGAGTATGACTTAGATAGCAGGTGCTGTTGCTAGTGCTTTGCATAAGCTGTCTCAGGTCAGAATTACTGTCTTCGTATTGGGAAGGAAATTGAAATTCTGAGGATTGTTAAAGAAAACTACTCAGCAATAGATGTTAAAGCATGCCATGGACAGGTTTATGTAGAACAACCAGAAGAGAATGTGAAGGTCCCCCTACAGTAGTATGTACAGGGGAGAGAATTAGCATAAGTATGAATACAGTAGGGTAAATGAGAAACATAGGAACAGGCTGGGGTCACTGGATGGAAAATTACTGCAAGAAAACAGGGACAAGGAAGATTCTTGCTGAAGTCAGGCCTGCCTGATGGATTAAACATCACCTGGAAGGGAGGGCAAAGACCTGACTCAATATCTAAGTTAACACATTAGAACAGTGGTTCCCAACCCTTAATACAGTTCCTTGTGTTGTGGTGATTCCAACCATATAATTATTTTGTTTCAACTTCATAACTGTAATTTTGATACTGTTATGAATCATAACGTAAACATTTTTTGGAGATACAAGTTTGCCAAAGTGGTCATAACCCACAAGGTTGAGGACCACTGCATTAGAGGGTAAGAAATTTAGCCTGATTGTCTGAGCAAGGATGGAGGAGAACTGGATTATATAGGACTTGCACAAAGGAACCTAAGATAAAATTCAGAAAGCAGGCTCAAGTTTAAAATGTCAAGCTAGATCTGTTGAGTCAGTTTTCCCAAGGTCATCTCTAATAGGTAGTTCCAGAGCTTGAGGTTTTCTTTTCCTTACTACCTACTAACATATGTCAATCCTAATTATAGCATCTACATATGTCGAAATTTTAAATGAAAGGTGTTATTCTAAGTGCTTTAAATGTATTAACTCATAATCCTTATAACCACCTCGTGTAGCACAGACCATTGTTTTAAGATGAGTAAGCTCCTAGAGTTACACCATCTCATCGTCAGTTACCTGGAGGAGTGGGGTTAGAACACTGGCCAGAACCCACTCTATATATAACCTTGTGAGTCAAGGAATACGGATTTAGATTCCTGGTTTAGTCTCCCACAGGTAAACCCTGAGAAAAATGCTTTTACCTCTCAGGAGCTTTGTTTTGTCATAGAAGAAGAGAGGGCATTTGTTTCTCGACAATTCCTGAGGTTCTTGTACTGGTGTTTTAGAATTGCCAAGATGGAAAGGTCAGGGTGAGCGGGCACCTTCTGATTCATCAGCTGAGGACAGTTTGAACCTCTGCTGCTGTGCATTCTGTGCCTTGTGAGTTTGTGCCCAGAAGACATCCAACTGCTGCAAGTTAATGCATGTCCTTTCCCAGTGTATCAGGTGCCTAGCTTCTTTATGGGACATAGCTCGTGTAACTCTGTGTGTTGGCATTGAAAGCTCTTTATACAGGGATATCATATGACCCTATTGTTCACATGGATTGACCCTCTTAAGAAAAAAATTTCTTAAAAGCAACTGACATGTATGCATATAGACATATGCATTTAGTGTGTATATGCATATATATATATATATATAAAACACTAAAATGTTATTGTATATATTTTTTTCTTAAAACAATTCACATGGTCATCCACCTTGCCTTGGCAAAGGTGTGTTGTACAGATCTGTAGTGAAGTACTTAAGGTGACTTCTTTTTTTATAGTATTTCACAAAATAAGAAAACATTTAGGTATTTTTCTGGATTTAGTCATTTAATATTTTGTATCTTACTTTGAACTGAATACAGGTCACCTAAAATATTTAAAAGTAAAGAAATTTATGGAGCTGGAGAGAAGGTTGAACTATTAAGAATTTTTAGCACCCACATCCATAGTCTCCCAACTGCCTGTAACTCCAGTTCTAGGATATCTAATAGCTTCTCCTGGCTTCAAGGCACACTCACATATGGTGCACATAAATACAGACATGGACACAGACACACATGATGTACATACATGTGCACTTATGTATATTTATACGTAAATACCCAGGCACTTGAAATATATGAAAAAAAGAACATGTGACAAAGATATTGGGGATTTTTGTTATAGGCCTAATTTTTCTGGATATATGACCTCATTTTATGAGCTTCTTCATGCATTCTACAGTAGATGCTTACATCCTAAACTCTTTCCCCTTGTGTACGTGGCAGCTGTTTCTTGCCATGATCTTCTGTCTTCCTTTCCTCATACCCATATGGAGCTGCTCATAAGCACACACGTCAAACATCACGCATGCCCCTTGTTACTGTGATGCAGAATACTAAATGTTGCTAAGTTAAAATACATTGAGATACCATAAACATGCTTACATTTTTGGATTAGGAATAAAAATAAAACCCTTTCCTCCCATGTTTCCACATGGAAAAAGTCTAAAGTTAACCTGGATTTTATTTGACACAAAAGATAACTGGATTACTTGGCTTCATTCTTAATGGTCCTGCAATATTCATTAGAAACTTCTCCACCCACAAAATATCAGGTGGGGCTGTTTCACTTTCTCCTGTCCCGTTGATCTGC